CCACACATGGTGATTCTTTGCAGTGACTCAATTCATTTCTGCACATGGGACCTGCCTCAACCCCCTTAAATTGAAACGTACTGGATACACCGTCCTAGCCACATACTGTTAATCAACTGGCTCTCAACAGGTGATGTGACCAATATCATGACAGCTGCATTAACTTTCCATAATATTTCCTGGTATGCATTAGAGGCTGGGCTGACATAAAATCCAAGGTCACTTAGAAATCATGTCTGTGTCAATAGGGCTCTCAAACATAAACACTGAACCCTCAGGCAAGTGTGCTTCTATAGTGAATCACGTAGTCACACATGCAGTGGATTATACCAGTAAGTAAAACGAGCCAAAACCACTCCACGGCCACCTCAGAAAAACAAACAATACTTGAAAGGTGGTGCAGAAGAAGAGACAATTTACATTTCAATGACTAATCAGCTCACAAAGAGGCCCCTATAATCTACAGTAGGATAGACTTGTAAAAGAGGTCCCTATAATCTACAGTAGGATAGACTTGTACTGAGGTAAATATTCTTGTTTTTCTTGGGTTTTGTTCATTTAAGGAAAGAAAAAAAATTAATAAAATGTTCATGTTTTTTCTCTGTATGTGTCACTGTTGTCAAGTTTCCTAGTCATGTGTGGCATTCATTTATTTTGATCAAAGGCAGAAGTAAACTAAGTTTGCAGCACTTTCCAAGTTCATCAAAACATTAGTATATCATGTCCATACACAAGTCTTTGTGTAGGTAACACAGATTTGTAAAGCAAATGAGAACTATTGGTTCAGGTTCTATAGCCATGTTTTTCAAACTAAACAATGACTTAAATTAGCACAGACAAAAACCAGCTAAGACATGGAAAAAATACTGTCACAAAGACAAAAGAAATAAGTTTAGTCTGCAGAAGAAAAAAACCAGACAAGGAAAAGTTAAAAAAGCATTTGATAAAACCCCTAAAGCCAACCAGTGTGACTAAATTCATTTCTGGAATTTAAATTTTAAAAGTCATTTTGTCAATCCTGATTTTATCCTGATGTAATACAAACAAAAATTACTGACTGCCCACATCTTTCAAGTTTTGTAAAGGACAATTTTCAGGTCTCTGGTGATTAATAATTGTATAGACCAATCATCAGTTGATAGTGATAGTTCATAGGGTCATATCCCACAAGTCATCTTCATCTCTCATAACCTGGCATCAATTTTTGGTTGGTTCAACCTAGGAACCAAGGTCAATTTTAAAAACAAATCTGCCTCGATATGAGTTTGAACCCTAGACTGGCCAGCAATAATCTAGCCGCTACACTACTTCAGCTCCTTTCTTCCATGGTTAAAAAAACTATATTTGGTACCGTACCCTGAATTCAACATTAAAACATTCAAAAAAAAAATTAGTGGCTAACAACATAGCCTACAAAAACGCACTGTGAAACAGTGAAATGCTCTCTATTCAACAACTGAATTTATGCCAGACTATTCTATCTAATTTAGATGATAAATGATACATAGCTGTCCACCTAGAACATCATATTCAGGAAACTTGTCTGCTATCTGTTCAATGCTGAATGCTAGGTCAAAACATTCATAATCAAGACTGATGACTGATTATATGCATAGGATAAATCACTGTGGACAAATGTTGTTGACTGGAAAAATATTGTGCACCAATGAATTCTACAGCTGAACAACTGATGCAAAGAGGACATATTAAATGCCAATAACATCATAATACCAAACCATGAGTTGATATCCATAACTAAATGAAAACAACAAAAAATATGACAATTTAATGAAAGTTAAGAAAAGACAGATCAAGTACAAATGACAGAAGTCACTTTTTTTTTTTTTAACAGTAGTTTTTGACAATGAATAAAACCACAAATCCTATATAACAATGAATAAATCAGGGGCACTGGAGCTTGGAGGCTCACTCCCCAGTTTATTTTTTAGGTGTAGGTTGAGCCTCCTCCTAAAAGAATTTAAAGGGGGCTAAGTGGCTCCTTTAGTCATGTACTTAAGTTTTATTATTAGGTATTCATTTCAACATTCTATTTAATTTCAAAGATGTTAGTATATTTACTTGCCATTCAGCACTTAATAATAGTAGTAACAATATCGGGTACTTAAACAAGCTTTAGGCCCCTTTAGTCCCCCTCTTCCCCATCTTAAAAGATATAAGGAAGCAGAGAAAGTGGCCTCCTCCCACACCCCGAGTCAGTTTTGTGTGTATGTCTACACCCCTAGAACAAATAAATACAATCACATGGACAGTTAATTCATACACTGAGAGAGAAATGTTCCTCTCAGCACAAGGATTACCTGCCCATGGGATTGTATCCCCTTTCATTGTTGTGGTGTAGGACTGGTTGTGGTGGCCAGATTCTTGCTTCATTCACTGGTCAACACTGGTTGAAATGTATATCTTGTGTTTTTTCTGTCTAGCCTATATTAAGCTTCTTGTTCATGGTATGTGTTGAAGCCCATGAATTTCACAAGATGCCAAAAAAACCCAGGAACTGATAACATACTTCTAGATAGCTCACACGTGTTGAGCCCGAGTTTAAAAGAGCAAACACAGTTTCAACACAGTCTTTTTAAAAATATGAATAAAGTTTTACAACTACAACAAAACCATAAATAACATTTCATGAACACAATCTCAAAACTACAATTATGTTTTATCATAACCTAACAGTATCAACTGATATACAATGAGGGACAATCAATTGTTTATAACAAGTACATAAACATCCTCAGTACAGATCAAGAGATACTTCTCCTTTTGCTGTATGCATTCTCAAGTAAGCAGGCTTACTGTCTTTAGTCGTGGAAAGTTTTGCTTCTGATAATAGTCAGCCATTGCATTTTCCTCCACAGGTAAACTACAAGGATATAGTTCAATCGCTCAGCTACTGAGCTGAGTGCATGGCACGACACTGTCAGCTAAAGATTTCATTCGGAATGCATTTGGACTGTGCCCAACATGGTTTGTGCTATGAACTGCAGATTCAGAAAATAGCAAGTGGCTTCTTGCCACAGAACTGGTGGTGCCTTATGCAATTTATTGCACATGCAACTACTGATGTGTTGTAACTGCTGCTACCATCGATGATGAACTGCATTTCTAGTGTCATACTGTTTATGCTGGCATTTCTGATGGCTGTCTTATGTATTTAATGCATGTGCATGCATTGACTCTGCCAAGACTGCAGTCAGTGTCATTGTTTTTACAAGTGACAGTGATAAACATTCTGTGTGGTTTCGTTGGCATAACACCGCAGTAACTATTGGGTGACCCGTTTGCTATGAAGCTGGAACTGTGATTACGTGATTCTCAAGTGTCTATATGAAGATTTGCCCTTGAAACCAGTCCACTTTTAACTCTTTTAGCTTTCTGCTTAATTGCAGAAAAACAAAGAATCAAAAGTCTGGATCACATGCCCTGTTGTTTCAATGATTACAAATGCATAAATAATATCTACCTTGCAGGTTGGAAAGATATATTATGGATGACCAATACTGCTCTGTTGCCAGGCAAAAACAGGGAACAGAAGGCTTGTTGGCATTTTCCCTGTGATTTCACTTTTACATTTTGAACATTTCTGTGCCTACACATCCCTAAATGCTTGCAGCTTGCAACAAAATATTATGAATGGATGCTATTCAGACTTAACATGACATGATGGAAATCTTCAATAGAGTTGAGGACACAGGCATTGGTGTACGCCTGACTAAGCTTTGCATGTGAAGAGATCTTCTTCATGAAGCCTCGTTCTCTGTAGTCCCGTATCTCTTCTGGCAAGTACCAGATGCCTTTAGACTGCAGATCTTTGGAAGCTGGGATCTGCAGGAACATTTTGTAGGCATGATTGTGATGTTCCATGTATATCCTCAAGGATTCCACCGAGCAGAAGCGGCCCCCGGTGGCTTCAAACACAGTCATCTGAGTGCAGGTGCCGAGCCCACATGTGTTCCAGGTGACCGTCAACTTCCCTGCCTGGTTGTGGGAAAAGAAGAAGTGTTCTGCATACACTTTACTCCAGTCTATTTTACTCCTAAAGTGCATCTGCAGCTCAAACCACACCTTGTACAGCAATGCTTCAGGGTTAGAATTTGACAATGCCCCACTGGTGTACATCAACTTGATATCTTGCGCCGAGATGCTTTTGTTGATTTTGACTGAGGTCGACATCAGCCTCGACAGGAGTGCATTAGATTGCTTGAAGCAATGGGAGGTGGCAATGCTAATCTGTCGTCCACATTTATTATTCAGGTAGCGGTTCACAGCCGTGCGAAAAGCTAGAAGAGCTGTTGCTGAGAATGGAGCTCCATCTTTCTTCTGCCCTGAAGTGTAGAAGCCCATGAGCATCTGGTCAATCTGTTCATCACTGAACTGCTCAAACTGAATGTTCATGCCATGGAGAGACAGCCACTCTGAAAAAGAAGAACAAATAAAACAAATGGAATAACTTGAGATTTCCCCAACTTTATATCAAAAGTCTGTATTTTAATTAGACAAACTATAATAATTTTAATCATCCAAGATTAATAATCTATTAAGCACTAAATTTCTTCACAATTGTTCAAAACATTACAGATAAGAAGAAACATGTAATTCTACAGCATAAGAACATCACACTTGTTTTTAAAGTAAAAAGCATATCTTGATAACTTCTATATTTCTGCTTATAAAAATCACTGAAGGGAGACATTTGTAATACCCATACAGTAGAGAGCAACCAGTTTAACTACCTGTCAATGGCCAGTGTTCCTTGAGTTCTCAACTAATATCACAAACGTTTGTCTAAAGTGGCAACAGAAGGACATGAACATGAGTGCAACAAAGCACTTCCTCCACGGGCAGATTCAAGTTAACAGACTATAATACAAACATTTCCCCAATTAATTTCAACTATTAAATTTATGATCTTATCAACAAAGACAATAGAGAAACTGCACTTATGATCTGTATAGGACTTGAAAGAAAAACAAGATAATTACCTCTGGCTCTAGCAACGGCCCATTTAGTCTGTCTCGAGGTATGGACAAGCTCAATGCCCTTTTGTCTGGGAAAACTGTGTGACGAGAAATGAGATGTAGCTGACAAGTCAAAGGCAGAACCTTCTGGTGATGGAGTAGTGTCTTGACGGTTTGCTGAAGACGGGTCCTGGAGTGTCATTGAGGCTGAAATGGTGGAGGACCAGGCAGTGAGTGATGAGATATCCTCCTCTATTCCAACAAGTTGTGAATAAAATATACAATTACGGAGGAAACAGCTAAAATATGTACATGATTGGCCTTAAATAAGAAAAGAAGAAACAGCTAGAGTAGTTAAGCAAGCCGGAGATTAACGCTGAAATGGAACATAAATGTATATCACTTTCTCACGTCCCATTAAATTCCTCAGGTTTTTTTCACGCTTTGTGTTCTTTGAAATTTAAATTCTTTAATATCTCTGGTGGGAAAAAAGTAGCACCTTCAATGTGTATTTAGATGCATACACGTGTGTAATGTACTTACTGTCACAGAACATGCTAGACAAAGTTATTTTCTTCTCCTCTTCCGGAAGGTCATTTAACTGTAACTTTTATTAATAACATCTGTTTATAAAAGACAAGTTTCAGAAGCAAAAATAGGCTGGTACCTTTGCATTATTGACTACACAGAGGCATGTCAGTCAAACATGAGATGTTACCAACACTGGAACACTGACTCACTGATGGCACAGATCTGACAATGATGAATTATATACTCTGGCACCAGGCAGGCTAGCCTAAGCAACAAATGTCTGAAGAAGTCAGATGTGTTAATTGAAAGCACAAGTATCACTGCAATGTCATAAAGGGCACAAGACAATTAGGTCCTCAGATGAGTAAAGAAGATATACACTGACAAGGTGTGGGCTAGGTTGACTCTGCAGCCAATAGTGTTGGCACTGGTTAATTGCTCTCTTCAGTGACAAAAGCACACACAAAATCAGTTGTCTTCTGATTCCCCACACAACACACAGGTCAATCCAACCTTCAAGTGATACAGACTGAGAAACTATCTTGCCTAGGTGGATAGCCATATTTTCCACCCTAAAGCTGCAACTGGCCTAGCAAGCCAGCAGGACATTATTTTATTACTTGAAGAAATAGAATGAAGTATAACCAGACTGACCACAACCATGGAAATGATGGACAAAGGGAATAACAGAGCCTTTTGGGACCCTATATAAAAAACATATAAACAGACACTCTATAATGTACAAAACACTTTTGCACCGCAAGGTACAAGAGAATCGAGGTAAGATGACAGATCACTGACAACAAACAGCAGCAAACAGATATGCAATAATAAGGAACATTTGAGTATTTTGAAAAAAAAAAAAAAACTGAATTGGAGACAAAGATGTGTACTATCATCCGATTTGTTGTCATCATATAACACGCATACTATGAGGTCAATAGAAAATATCCCCAGAATATAAGTTGCTGATGTCATTGTCTTCAATGTAGAAAGCCAATACAGTAATGACAGAAGGCGGAACAACTTCAGTTTAAACAATAATAAGACAAATAATTGATCAAACTTTAGGTACATAATAAGGAAAAAGAATAAATGAAGCAAAAACTTAATTTTGTAAAAGGATAAACATTCTATGCAAGAAATGTCCACAGTAGAAACATACAGATAGTATTCCAATGAGAAGCAAACACAACAGGGATTTCAATCTGATCTTCAGAAGAAGAAATCTCCTTACAACAAGTGTTCTGGCCCCTTAATCTTAGTCATGTTGCACCAACAGTACCCAACACATACATAACTGGACCCAGTCACGAACCATACATAAACAGTCCAAGGACTAGGTAAACAGTGCCAGTTATAAATTAATAAACAAGCAATTTTACTACAGATGCCTCCACAAATGTGTCAGATGTTATATGCTGAATGCTGTTATATGCACATGTTCATCTAAAAATTGTGAGTTACTGTCCTTGTTATAATCTGCCACTCTTTTTGTCACATACAAACTTTCTGTCTCACACGTGTATCAAAGTCTCTACTATCAAGTGTGGAAATTTATCCAAGAGACCTTAACTAAGAGATAAAAGAATGTGTGTATTCTTGTTTGTAACTGTATTCTTGTTTGATTGTGCTTTATGCTGACGAAGGCTAATCCTTAAGCAGATTCTGCTGGAGGAGCATGAGGTCATATCTTTCAACTGAACTATGATTTAAGGTGACAAATTCCAGTTCTGCTACAACTTCCTTCATTAGGAAACCTCCCATAGTCATGATTTAAGAAATAATAGCATTACAATTCTGCACTGTGAGAACAAAAAAACTGTCCTCAAACTAGATTTAAACCCATACACCCATGCTGGTAAGCCAGTGCATTTACACACCCAATGTGGCTTCTAGTTATCTGTAAGGCCTACAGAGAGCTACCCGTAAATAGCACAAAGTTGGTCCATTTTTAAATGAAGCAGATGTCCCCATACGTTATAAAATGTTTTATGCAGTGACTATCTGAAAGTAAGGAAACCAGGGAGATCTAATGTTGTCAATATTAGCGACTATTTAAAAGTGAGAGTACCAATGGTATGGGAGATCTAATGTTGTCAATATTAGCAACTATTTAAAAGTGAGAGTACCAATGGTATGGGAGATCTAATGTTGTCAATATTAGCAACTATTTAAAAGTGAGAGTACCAACCGTATGGGAGATCTAATGTTGTCAATATTAGCGACTATTTAAAAGTGAGAGTACCAATGGTATGGGAGATCTAATGTTGTCAATATTAGCGACTATTTAAAAGTTAGAGTACAAATGGTATGGGAGATCTAATATCAATATTAGCAATTATTTAAAAGTGAGAGTACCAACCGTATGGAAGATCTAATGTTGTCAATATTAGCGACTATTTAAAAGTGAGAGTACCAACGGTATGAGAGATCTAATGTTGTCAATATTAGCGACTATTTAAAAGTGAGAGTACCAATGGTATGGGAGATCTAATGTTGTCAATATTAGCAACTATTTAAAAGTGAGAGTACCAACGGTATGGGAGATCTAATATCAATATTAGCAATCCCCCGTGTGGGTTCCGGGGCCCCATTGTGGGGAAAACAAGAATAGACCCACTACCTCCCCAAAAGCATGTCGTAAGAGTCGACTAATTGGGAAGCTTCCTTTGAAGTCGGAGTGCATCTGCCGGAGAGGCAAGGAACCAACAGTCTGTATTCAAGAGAATGAGATCTGTAAAACTGATGCACACGCAACACTCAGGTTCTGGAGCAGGACTGCAGTTCAGTAGTGGACGAGCAACCAGAACCTTCCGCCAGAGTTTACAGCTGGTGAACGTGAAGAAGAAGAATATTAGCAATTATTTAAAAGTGAGAGTACTAACCGTATGGAAGATCTAATGTTGTCAATATTAGCGACTATTTAAAAGTGAGTACCAACGGTATGGAAGATCTAATGTTGTCAATATTAGCGACTATTTAAAAGTGAGAGTACCAACGGTATGAGAGATCTAATGTTGTCAATATTAGCGACTATTTAAAAGTGAGAGTACCAATGGTATGGGAGATCTAATGTTGTCAATATTAGCGACTATTTAAAAGTGAGAGTACCAACGGTATGAGAGATCTAATGTTGTCAATATTAGCGACTATTTAAAAGTGAGAGTACCAATGGTATGAGAGATCTAATGTTGTCAATATTAGCGACTATTTAAAAGTGAGTACCAACGGTATGGGAGATCTAATGTTGTCAATATCAGTGACCATTTGAACATGAGGGAACCAACAATCATGACTTTAGGTGACTAGTTTTTCACCACTTTCTTTTTTGACAGATCAAGAAAAATGTTAGATGCTTATTTTAAATATATTTTTTTAATCCATTATTTAGGATGACTGCATACCCTTTTAGCAGTTATGATATTTAGAAGTTGTTCTAGTTGACCCAAAGCAGAAATCTGAAAGGGGAGGAAGGGGTAGATATAGTGCACTCTAACAAGTACATCATAAAGGTGACTGATCAGAAATTAGCTGAAATCGGATGTGTTACGCTGAAAGGCACAGATATCACAGCCTAGCAGTAAGCAACAAACACAACACCCCAGCCACTCTTTTAAGGGCAAACACAGAAGAAGAAAAAAAAGAATTAGCAGCAGCAGCAGCAGACATACTAGAAGTCCATATTTAAGATGAAGATAAACATGTTCTAAGTGTGGACTATTTGACAGATAAAGAAAATGTGGTACATACAGAAACACATTAGCAGAAGAAGTTATCAGATTGATGTGTTATTTACCCATATTTTCCAATATTTAAAGACAAACACTGCAAATACACAATTTTTTTTTAAAACAAAATATAGACCAGAATTTAATGAGAGGAAACTTTAAAAAAAAAACAAAAAAACTAAAAAGCAACTTTCAACATGTTTTCATGTGGGCTCTTGGGCCCCGGAAAAGAACAGACTCACTGCCCCCTTGGCGAAGCATGTCATAAAAGGTGACCAATTAGAAGATTGCGGAAATCAGACAGGTAACAGGCCGAATGTGCAGACATTACAACCTAGCAGCCAACTGCCCTTTCAAGGGGGAACACAGAAGACATGGAGGGAAAGATGCTAACAACTATGGAGGGAAAGATGCTAACTATGGAGGGAAAGATGCTAACTATGGAGGGAAAGATGCTAACTCAAAGCAACAAAATAGATCTGGAAACATGGCAAATCATCAATGTTAACAAAAGCACACTTCAGATTTGTTTGTATCTGCTGTCATTCTTGCACCCCAAGAAATATATGATCAACTCTTTCCCCCATGTGTCCCAAACAGAGCTGTACTACGGCGTTTAAAGTGTCGGGAACATTTTATGCTTAGCATATACTAATAAACTGACAATTTCTATTTTCTTTAATTCCTATACGTAATAACCTTTGAGATTTTTAAATGACAATATGAACCTTTTTCTGCAAAAATTCTGAGAATGAAAATATCTATACCTGTGGTTTCCTTCATTTTAATTGATTTAAATATCTACCCCTGTAGTCCATCATTGATTCATTTACATATATATATACCCTTGTAGTCTATCATTACTGTTTTGTAATTTCATTCATATCTTATCATTTAAATATCTATTCTTGTGGTCCATCATTTATGTCTTGATAGAAATGAGAG